CTCCAGCAACCCTCAGTTGGTTTCCTGCAATTAAGAATTCCTCATATCAGTGAGATCATATGATACATGTCTTTCTCTGTTTGACTTATTTCACGCTAAAAGTGGTTTTAAGAAAGGCTTTGTCTGAGTACCTCATAGATTCCTGCAGCCCAAGAGGGAACAGAGGACCACAGCTTCCCTCAAGGGCTGAGATTTCTGACCTTGCCTCAGACCGGAATGTTTGGTTGGGTCCCTGCGACCTCCCTTTGGAGGCTCCCTGTGAAACAGGTGAAGTATTACACTTCACAGGATTGGTGTTGAGGATCACGAAATATATGTTGATTTGTATAACACTCAGCATTGTGCCTGGCACGTAGCAGACACTCAGCCCATGAACTGGGGACACTCTTTGTCCTCCAGGAGAGACAGAACTTCAATAAGAGATTTCCCACCCGTGTCAAGGAGGCAGGCGCTGTGCTGGAATCCAGGACGAAGTAGAACAGAGATTACAATCCAGCTCTTGGAGGCTCATTGTCTAGAGGGAGCCCATATCCTTGGCCACCAGGCCACATTGTCCGGAGCTGAGAGGAGTAACTTCTACTCCCTTCCTGGTCACTGTGTGACTCTGGGCAGATCAACTCCTTTCTCTGGTCATTGGTGGGGAAACCATCTAATTTCTCTCTTACATTGGGACACTTAAGAGTAAAGAGGGCACTATAACACTTACCCTGGGGGAACTAGTGTAAACTGGGACGTTGCACAGCAAGCCAGGCCCAGGGACCCCTGGACTCATCCGTTGGAGGGAGACAGTGCTGTTGGTGCTGCTGCTAGTACTGCTCACGCTGCTTCGTGACTGGGTCCAAACCTACCCTCACTTCCCCCACTGAATTTGCACAGGCAGTTTGCATTTCTTCTTTTAGCTCACAAGCTTATCATCTCGCAAGTATGCCTTCAGCTGCTTGGAAGAACCCATTTCTCTTTGAGCCCTGTTATCTGAGACTGCAGCTGGAGCAGGCCCCACCTGTTTTTGGTTTTTACTAATGGGCTCCTGTGATGGACAGCACACACTGTAGTCCTAGGAGCCTGGGGGGCTCAGCACTGCCATCTAAGTCATGCAGACACCCCAGCCAGCATTCCCAGTGATGAGGGGTGCCCAGGCCCCCTAGAGGTCTGGACAGTCACTGTGAAAGAAGAGCTGTGACTCATTCTCTGGGCCAACCCTGGAGACCAGAGTTCACAATCAACAGCCACAGGGTTGCCTAATAGCTGGTGTTTGTAAAAGCTTGGAGTGTGTCTATATAACCTACCAGCCTTTTGCATTTGAAGAAACAGATTCAGAGAGGTTCAGAAAGCTGCCAAGGTTATCTAGGGAGAAAGTGAAGAAGCTGGTGTTTACATTCCAGTTTGTTCGCCTTCAAAACCCTGTTCGGCCAGTGTTTCTCAGTGTGCCAATGAGGTATGTAAGATGATTTTAGGTTTCAGATGGCCAAGTGGTTAAAAATGATTGTTTTATATTTACCTTAATTTGAACGAGAAAAAGACCACAATTGGCACACAAGACTTGTGACTTTGCAGAGATCATTGCTTAGGATGTAGGTAAAATATATATTTAAATAAGAAAAGGTCAACTTTGCAAAAATATCCAGGTAAGAAGTGGACATAGCCTTCCTGAAGACCTCCATTTGGGTAGTGCAAGTCCTGGCTTTGATTTATGTGGCTCTAGCCATATCACTGGAGGGACAGTGTTTCGAGCCTGTGACTTAAGTAGCAGTGTGCTGCTTCGCATCAACTGTGCCATTTAGTCCACTATGATCCTCCCTAAATCCGGAAAATTCATAATGAAGTGACTGTACAGCTCAGCCTGAAGCTAGAGTGAAAACAAAAAGTTATCAAATAAGAGTGCCAATAAGAGTATAATTCTGCTTAAATTGACTGTGTCTATTGATCTGGGCCTTGCCAACTCTTCTATATTGAGAAAACCCAAAGTTTTCCAATCAACCCCTATATTACTGAGATTGAATTATGAAACAGTAAATATTCCCACTGCACTTTTTTTTTTAAAGTATACTCTTAATTGACACTTTCCATTTGGTCTGAATTTTTAGTCTTTCAAATCCTCTAAAAAATACGAACTTGTATAAATGGTAACCAAGTCAGAATTTGTGACTATTTAAAGTACACAAAGTCAAATGAGAGCACATTAGTTCTGTGCTTCTCAAACTAGGATACATTAAGGAGCAGGTGGTTTACCAAGATAACACAATATATCTTCCCAGAAGATACAATTAATATATAACCTGGAAGAGGGAAAGGATTTTTGTATTACAATTGATTATGGAATTAGAATGCACAGTTTATATTAGCATCTATGATAAAACACAGGATTAAACCATTTTAATGTCATAATTGAAGGGAATTTGAGAAGTTCTTGTTAGCAAAATGCTCTGTGAAAAATGCAAAGCAACATTCAAATATGTCTTTACCATTACCAGGTTTCAGAATCCCTTAGTTTCCAAGAAGCAAAATAGCCTCAGGACTCATCCGTGTAGTCTTCATTTCCTCAGGCCTATCCAATAATTGAAATTGTGTAAAATGAGGAAGGTGTGTTAATACATGAATTTTCCCAAAGAAAGTGGATTTTTAGTGGTTTTCTGAAACAGCTTTTCTTGAACCAAAACCTCAGCTCAAAAAGGCAGAACCCTGTGCTCTAATGACAGCTTCATGAAGAATGGTCAGGGGCTCTAAAATTTCAAATCAATCACAACAAAACTCCATATATATGGCTGGGCTTAATTACTATAACCAGGGTTTTCCTTCACGTTTCTTTTGCTCTGAATTTTTCCACTGATCCTATGTTACTGTAATGTGATAAAATATTTCAAATGTCCTGCTTACTATCTTATCTACTTTAAAGGTATTTTATTACTTCAGTGAATTATGCCAATACTAGTAACATAGATTCTCTTCTATGAACAACGCCAACATCTGTTTATTTTATTAGCAGGCCAGGGAGCAAAGAAATTACAATTCCATTCCCATTTCGTTTGTAATTCAACCTAAGATGTCTCAAATGCGCCTGCATACCTCACTGTGCCTAGCAGTAGATGTTCAGAAAATGACTTCTAAATTGGATTAACCTTTCAGTTTTCACTGAAAGAAATTATTATTGTATTTCAACCAAAGCTAGTTACTTGTCTTTTATCTCACTTCCCTTTAAAGGGTTTTCCCAATGCAGCAACATCACAGTTGAGTCACACACCGGATCTGTTCAGCATAACTTCCGAAACTCATAGTTTCAGCAACTCTGTAACAAGACCTAACACTCAATGAATAAGTCAGAATAAGTCCTTATTCTGAGCCAGGTCCTGTTCTAAGCCCATATTACTTAAAATCCATATATTAAAATCATTTGCTCCTCAGAAAAACTCTCTAAGGCACGTGTTCCTATTTTATATATGGGTTAAATAACTTGCCCATAGTGCCTTTCTCATGTTCTGTTTAATTTAGTCAGTCCACCATTCATGAGATGGATGGTTCCACAAATTATATGTATGCTTATGTTCAGTATCCTCACAAAAAAATAAGCTATAAAAATTTAACGACATACTTTGTAAGCTTTTAAGTGTTACATAAATCTCAAACAGCTTAATAAAGAGAAAAACTATTGATGTATCTATACTAAAAAGGATCCAAATAAAAAATAATAAAATTAACTCTTACCTCTTCTAATTACAATAGTTTGGGAACTGAAATCTATTTTTCTGGAATAGGGATGGCATTCTTTCCAAACTATGAAGGTACTCTCCCTACTGTCAGATGGAATAAAAGTGAAGTGCAAGCCCTTTCCCTGGAGACATTTTATATTTCTTCTTCCTTCATTATACTCAGAGATGGCCAAACTGAATTGCTGACTGCCCAAATACTGTTTGTATAGAATGCCATATTTAAGCTTGAGACTGCTTTCCTTTATTTCTCTGCTTCCACAGTGAAATACTTCAAGCATAATTTTTGCTAAGTTCTAAAAATTTCAGCAGGTAAAAACATCACGGAAATGGAAATTTACCCCCAACATATTTCATTTGGAAACTGAAAAATTCAATTTAAGTAAGATTTATTGATTGCCTAGACTGTGCATGGTTGTCTACTAGACACAATGAAATTCAGGCACAAAACAGACACAAGATCCCTGGCCTCAGGTACCTTATGATCTAACTAGTATAATACAGCTTAGAAACAGTAAACAAACAAGTTACATGGCAATGCTCACTTACTAGAATCAACATTAAAGAGCAGTAATTTAAGTAATCCAAAATGGTGTCTAATCCTAAAATCATTTATAAAATGCATTTAGCCTTGAAATCCACAGCACTTCAAACATGATAATGAAGTTCCACTGCAGATAAAGTCACAAAGATTTACATTTAAGGGTATTATTAATGATTTTTGTTATTTTGGATCTTCTGTTTTCTTCTTATTATCGTTCGAAGCCTCCGTAATACCAGTTTATCAGACAGAAGCATGTCATCTTGTTGTTCTAGGTAATCCAATAAATTCTCGGTCCATTCAAGTGCAGCTTTATGGCTAATATGCTTCTCTGGATTCAGATCTGCTTTTCTAGTCTTATTGGAATGCTTTTGTTCGGCAGGCTTGGCCTGGTCCTCAGCACCTTCACTGTCAGTTAGCACCTGACAGCTTGAATCATTACTCCGAGATTCAAACCACTGATCAATATTTTCAATGTCAACATGTTCACAGTCTTCTGTATTCTGTAAAACCGTTGCTAAGTTAGCTGCTAAAATGGCTCCTTCATCAATGTTCATGCCTGAATTCTCTTCATTGCTAGGGAAAAGTTTTTTCCAGGCTTTGGTTATGGTACTTGATTTTACCATGTTCCAAGCTCTTGATACTTCATAAATTGCATCCAACACTGTCAAGTTCTTCCAAAACATTTTCGGGTCAATTCCCTCACCCATGTATTTCTGGAGAAGTCCTGCTCGGTAGTATCTTTTTACTGTGGCTAGAACTCCCTGACTCATAGGTTGAATTAGACTTGTGACATTTGGTGGCAAATATTTCACAATTATTCTGCCATCATCTGAACTCAATAATTCTTCATTTGGATGTGCTGGGGGAAAATCCAAAAGAAGCACTGCTTTTTCTAGAAGCCCCTGGGACTTCAGATGTTTCTGCACCTGTGGCACAAAGTATTTTTCAAACCACTGTCTGAAAACAGAATGTTCTATCCATGCACTTTTTTGACTGAAATAAGTGACAGGAAGGTTTGAAAGGTCAGCTCCTTTGAATGCACGGGGTTTTTTTGCTTTTCCCACAACACAAAGATTAAGTTTGTGTAAACCAGTGGCATTTGCACAACACATAATAATGATTCTCTCTCTGCTTGACCTATAACCAGAAGTATTTTGCTCAGTTTCAAGAGCTAATGTCCTTGATGGTAGACATTTCCAGAACAATCCAGTTTGATCAGCACCATAAATTTGCTCTGGTTGTAGATTCTCTCTCTCAACGAACTCCTGAAAGTTACCGCAAAATTCACTGGCAGCAGTTTCATCTCCTTTTAACTTTGTTCCTTTACCAGCAGCCTTTGGAATACCATGGCGCTGCTTAAACCGAGTTAGCCAGCCAGATGACGCATTAAAATCACCTTCCATCCCCAGAGCATCAAAAAAGAATTTGGCTTGTTTTGCACAAATTGTTCCAGACACTGGAATCCCATCTGTTTTCTGTTGGTTAAACCACTCTATCATAACCCTATCCAGTTCCTCATATGTTGATGACTTCATTGATTTACGTTTGGATACCCCACTTGTAGGATCTGAACTGTTTGCATAGTTTATAATCCTTTCTTTATTCTTTTTAATATCACGAACTGTGGATTCACCAATTCCATACACCACAGAAAGCTTTTTGAAAGAGATGCCTTCCTCAAGTTTCTTAATAATGTCAAGCTTGTCCTTAATTGTCAACACCACACGCTTACGTTTCCCCAACATTTTAAGTGTCTAATATTTTAAGCAATTACTAGAACAAGATATTTAACAACTTAGATTTGGATACAATGAGCCTAGAAAATGGGTTTTTAAGATCCCTTCCCTGTCCCCCCTGGACCTAGATGGGTGGTGTGCTGGCCAATTTCCAAGCCAGGCCTGTGTGACTCTCTTCACTTTGCAGTTTTAAAGCCTACAAAGGTCTTTCAACAAGGACTAGTTTTAATTAAACCTATCTTCTTTCTTCCTCCTTAGTTTAAGGTCTTTTCCTGTACCGCACTCTTAGAGGAGATTGCAACCAATACCGTACCAGCAAGGACTCTAAAACAGTCCTATTGTGAATTCAATTCTTCCCATAATTACAGGTGAGATTCTTTGCTAAAGGAACTAAGACTCAGGTGGGACTATTTTGGGAAATGTGCTAGGGAATAGTTTAAGAGAGGACTTGTAAACATGACATATAGGAAAAAAATAATGGAAAAACTCATCCCTTGATCTTTGTCTTTGTCAGGCAGTGCACTGTATGGAATACTGCCTCTTCTAGGCAGGACTGCTAGAGATTATTCAAGTGAGTGGTTATGAAAATCACAGGCGAGCGAGGTAAAGCAAGCTGGACAGAAGTGAGCAGTGCAAATAAGGTGAAAATGGACAAGCAGAAAACTTTGTACTTTAACATGACACAAACTTATACCTAATGTATTTGGCAACTGGAAAGGCAAAAGGTGGACAAGAGGTGGTGTCATATGATTAAAGAAAGCATTAAAAACTTCACTGGTAGAAATCAGAACTCATGGTAGAGGGTATGAGGTGGAAGGCTCAGTGAAGATGTTAAAATAATCCTGGTGAAAGATGATCCTCGATGGGCCAACAGAAGTAGTTCCTGTGGGGAGCTGTATAAGCACTCGGTGCCTCCGAAACCTAAAGGAAAATACCAAAAATATTTTTTTTCAATATCAGGGTCTGTGGCATTACTCATATCTATCCTGCAACTGTATTGAGAAAATTAACGCCTATCAGTGTGATGACAAAATCCGACAAATAATGCTTTTAGGCATTATCTGGAGCGACAGCGGGACCTGAATTGCCTACCTCCTGAAATTAAGAGGTCAGAGACAAGCCGTGTTAGCGAGGGCCTCTCCCCGCAGGGCGAGCTCCGGAGCGCGGGACGTCTTTGCTCACGCGGAGGGAGCCCGGATTCCTCCGTGGACGCCGGCGACCAGGGTGTCACCGCCGCAGCGAGCGAGCGAGCGTCTGGCCAAGGGGCGCCAGTCAGCGGGCCGGAGGCATCGCTCTCCGCCAGACAGCGCGGCGGCCAGACTGCCCTGAAAGCAAATGGAGTCTCTAGAGGGAAGCTGACACTAGTGGCGCGGTAGCGGCAGCGAGGGGCAAGCGTCGCCGCCGGAGCCGGAAGGCGGGGGATTAGGGTGCACGCGCGCGCCCCCGCAGGAACGCTGTGTCGGCGAGGGGGCGGGGCCTGCGCGGGCGAGTGCGCGCGGCGCGGGGGCGGAGTCCCCAGTGAGAGGGCGGGAGAGACTGGGAGAGGGCGGGAGAGACTGGGAGAGGGCGGGAGGGGGCGGGAGGGGGCGGGGCCGCTGCTGCAGAGTCTCTAGACGCCGCGTGGGTTTCGCTGATGGCCTGGCTGCTCCGGCCTGCCGACTATTTCGCAAACCAGCAGGGGGCGGTACAAGTCCACCCTGTCTTGGCCCTTCTTTCAGTGGCTCGCTCTGCGGGCGAGGCTTCCTCCACTCTCAGGTGGAATAAAAATCGCACCCTCTGAGGGCTCCCGAGAAAGCTGCGCATCCTCAGGTGCCACGAGCGGGATGCGAACGAGGCTGGGCGAGCGCACGTGGAGCGTGTTTACAAATAGAGGCCGCTGCACCCGCGCCTCCCAGCGCCCGCCAGCTGGGACTGGACCAGTCGGAGCAAAGATCAGGAGCAAAGGTAGGAGCGAGCGGACGGGACTGCTGGCCGAGTGCAGGAAGGCTGGCTCCCTTTGGGGACCGGGTCCAGGAGAGGAGCTAGGGCTTACACTCTGCAACACCTACCTGAGCAAGCCCGGGGTCCCTGAGGCGCAGCAGGGGTTGTTCAAACTGGGTATCGACTATTTCCACCCTGGTTGCACTGCTCCAGGGTTTAAGTCACCGTTACTACAGAAGCGGACCCTGTGCAACACCGACTGCACCTTGGAGACGCGTGAGTCTGTGCGAGGCTCCCTCATGAATTTCCTGCCACCCCTTTACTCCGTCTGCTTCTCGGTAATAATAAGGGAACTGCAGTTTGACAAAGAGTCCCTTGATTTATTTTAAGTGGAGATACCATTCGTTTCTATTTTGGCATTCTAAATGGACCGAATGCCAGCACCTGTCCATTAATAACCTTTGCGATGAACCATGCTTTCTCCCCCTTCCCAGACTTGGTTCCTTGTGGGGCCCTCGGAGCCTTCCCAGGGGAAGGGAGTGGCTGCATCTTCATCCTGCAGCACCTGTTTACCAAGGAAACGCATTTAGCCTTTTCTTTCTGTCGTGTGTGTGCGCCCCTGTGTGTAATACTTTGAAAAATGGAAAAGCCTAAAGTTTCTCCAAGACCTGAGCACAAATGTCTAGCCATTTTCGTTAACATAAAGTAGCACAGTAATTCGTCATTTATTTGCAAAGGCCATATTGTTGCTAAAAACGTTTCCAAGGGGAACTGACCTGAGCATTAATACTGCAGCAAAGAGATGCTCCTTGTAAGTCTCTGACTCCCCCGCCCAAACGGCTTAGTTGCCTTCCTGAAAATCCCAGCTGTGCTGTATCTGGCATGATGGAAAAATCTTTGATCTCCTAGTTATGCTGTGAAGTGGCTTTTGACAAATACCTGCTTTTCCTAAAGGTAGATCTCTCCCCCTCCCCGATCCTTCCCCTGATATATCAACCAGGCAGTTTTGGCATTTTTGGTTGACTCTTTTGGGTAAAGTACAACTTTATGCTAGTTTTATATCACTTTTAAAAGTTTGCCTTTCCGCCCCTCACAGTTGTAAGAAGCGTGAAAACAGTTGTATCTGATACATTATCCATTCCTCATACGGGAAGAGAGCTGACATTTACGGAGTGCTAACCAACGGAGGTGGCATGTAAGCAGATGTTAGCAGCCTGGCTTTCCCCTTGCCCGCCAGCCTACTGGCGTCCCTGGGTCCTTTATGTATTTAAATAAAGTGAACCCCGACTCTTCTCTCCCTTCGCTAATATCTCTGGGGTTTAATTTCCTTCCAGATACCACTTGTATCATTTTCCTGTTTCTGCTGATTCTCCAGCTTGCCGGTGCCTTTATCTCTTAGAGCTGTTCCCTTTTCATCACCTTGTGTAAGTTCAGATCTGGAACGTGGCCCACATGCCTTGATTTCCTCAAAACACCTCACACAAGGCAGTTGTATTTAGTAGACTTTGAGATTTTACCCTAGACAGCTGTGTCTTTACAGAAGCTAATTTTCTCTGACTACTTCCTTTTTGTTAGGGGGGGAGGGGTTGCTAGTTGTGGCATATTAATTTATATTAAAGTACAAGAGTGGGAGGCGGGGGAGGACCTTACAATAGAATGTGTTCTATTAGGAGCCAGGGTGGCCACAGGTAACTTCTTATCATCCACTCTTCTCTTTGGGTCACAGCTTCATTCCGTCTTCTATGCCATCCTCTCCTTTCTCCAACATTTTTCTGTCTCGGGGTCCCCTCTCGCCTTTCCTCTCAACTGTGTGTGAAATCTTAAAGATTCTTTTTCCTTTATCATACAAATTTGTATTTTGTTTTTTTCTAACTGTCCCTTACCATTCACTGCAGTTTATTCTCTAATCAGAAGACATTTCACTCCTTAGGGAATCCTGCCACCGGGATCTCTTTCCTTCTAGGTTCTTGTGATAGCTCTTAATCCTTATGCTTGTGCTATGAGTGAGGTCAATGTTACCCCGTTTTATGTACAATGAAACAAAAGCTAAAAAGTATGTGAATCTATTAAATGTAGGTGGCAAAATGGAGAGTTGAGCCAGATCTATTTGGTTTTAAAGGCAACATGCTCTGCCACACCATCACAATTGAGGTATTTAACTTAGACCGGAAAAGAGGAAAAAGTATATTGTGATTATTTTTGCATGAAGTTGCCATTTCTTAAAATGGAATTTTTGACATTAACCTACCAAAAAGGCGTTCTAGTTGTGAGGGTACCTTAAGTCTGCAACAGTGTTCATCAGACATAACCTTTGGTTCATTGGACAGTGGGTTTTCTAAAGCTACTCCAAATCACCTGAAAGTGAAGCTCCAGATTCCCTTTCCTGCTGAGATAATATCAATGCAAATACATTTTGTGGCCTCATTTTCAGATGTATGCTTTATGCTTGATAGTGTTATAATAGTAATATAATTTCTAGGTAGAGTAAATTCTTTTAAAGGAACTGCTTTCTCTTGGGGTTTCATTTACTTTATCAATGACCCTCATTTATTTGGAGATTTTTGTTTAAGTTACTCAAATTAGCTATTCCAATAAGCTTAAGATGAGGACATGATACTGTTATTCTATTTGCATTAAACTGATTTAATATCAAATAGTATTTCTCTCTTAATAATTGAAAATTATTGCCAGTTGAAATAGTTTCACAAAAACCATATACTATTCACCTACTTTAAGGGACATAAAATATTGAGGGGAATTTTCTGGCTAAAATATAATTTGTTTTTCCTTTGGAGAGTATGCGCATGTGTGCGGCAGGGGGGCAAACAGTATTTAGAACTAAAATGAAAACTTGTTATTTGAAGTCTCTTTTAGCTGTAAAGTTATTTTACTTTGCATTATAGACAAAAGTCTGAAGTATTCATTTTTAATATAAAAATCCCTTTTATATGGTTAAAAGTAGAAATACTTTTCCACTTGAAAATTTCTGGACCCAAGTGAAAGATCAGATTACTCACTGGAAAAGACTTTATCTTTTTTTAAAAACTTGTTAACATGATATTGAAAGATAATGATTTTTTTTCATACTCTTGAGTCCTATCGATGCCCAGTAAGAGGCTTTTAAACTTAATTTTGTTTTCTAGGTTTCCTTGTTGGCTGACAGGTTTTCAGCTCACTGGCAGCATAGGCAAAGATAAGAGGATGAGTTCCTAGGAAGATAGAAAAGTTTTAATAGGTCGAAAAAATGAAAATTGCTGGTGGAAATGTTTAAGGAAAAGTTAGACTTGCTTTCTGAAAAACATGTGGATATAAATTGAAGAAACCGGTGAACTGCTAATTGATGGTGGCAATGTGGGTTGGAAACTTGAGTGAAGTTTATATACCCACTCTACCTTTCCAAACCTGCCTGGTTTCCAGCTCTTCTCTAAAGGAGCCCTCAATCCCTTTAGATTGGTCAAATCCATTTTACCGAAAGCCACTGTGCACCACCAGACCACTCATGCTCACTGTCCTCAGCACATGCAGCTTCATGCTTTAAGACTCCACTTGCTGCTGTTCTACAAGCCTAAAACGTCCTCTCCTTTCTCTGTTAATCTGTACATCCTTCTGTTCTAGTTTGTCTAGAAACCTGCTTTTCCCAGGGCGCCTGGGTGGCTCAGTCAGTTGAGCGTCTGCCTTTGGCTCAGGTTGTGATCTCCGGGTCCTGGGATTGAGCCCCACGTGGGGCTCCTGGCTTGGCAGGGAGTCTGCTTCTCACCCTCCCACCCGCTCCACCCCTGCTCTCTGTCTTTCTCAAATAAATAAATAATATCTTCAAAAAAAATTTTTTTTAAAAAACCCTGCTTTTCCCTAAGGTTGCTCCTCAGACCTGATGGGTCAGAATCACCTGGGGTCCAAAGTGTAGCTTCTGGAATCTTTCATTTTCAGCACGCATCCCAGGTGATTTAACATGCTAAAGTTTGAACACCTTATGTTCTGACAACCATTTTGAATATGAGGTTCTTCCCTCATAATAATATATTCTCTTAGGAGGGAGTTTTTCTTCCCCCCTCGCCCTTTGTTCTTAAACTATACACCATCTTTGAAGGAAAATAGGAAATACAGAAAAGCAGAAAGGAAACAAGCATACCAGCATTCAGAGATAATAACTAAACATTTTGGGGTGTAGCCATTGTCTTTCTTGTATCAATGTAATTATCTCATATATAGTGTGTGTGTATACATTTTTTAATGAGAACACGAAGTCCTAATATACACAAAATTTTATACGTACACTTAATGGCATATTGTATTTTATTATATTATTGCTTCTCATCAGCCATATATTACCAGGAATACACCTGTTGCCAAAATTGGGCTTACTGCTGCAGCAAGGGAGACCCATCCGTACCTTGGAAAACCATGGAGTGTCTCAAAGAGAGGGAGTCAGGTGGAACCTGTTACAGGATTTGGGTAAGGTGATTTTCGGG